GTAGTTTTTCCATTGTGAAAATATCTCCAGTGTAACTTCATAGAAGGAACAAAATTCAAGGAAAAGGTCACCCCCATCTGACAGTCATAGGCCCTGGAAGCATCTGTTTCCTCTGCTGAGACCCAGGCAAGGGGACCCTCTGGTGCTGCCTCCAGGCCCCCCCCCCCCCCCCCCCCCCCCCCCAAAAAAAAAAAGGGCGCCGGGGGCCTCCCACTTATTCTACACCTCTCATGTCCCACCACCCCGCCCACCGGCCGGCCCCGCCCAGCCCTGCCCCAGCCATCCCTTCTGCCAAAGGGCGCGGGTACAGCTGTTCCTCAGGCCTGTGTGCTGCCATGCCAGGTACTCATCCACGCGGGCACGGGTCTGCAGGTCCTGCGGGTACCAGTGGTCTGGGGTCTGGTACTTGCGGCTCAGATACAACAGGATGGCCACACTGGGGGGACATGAGGGGGCATGCCTGGTCACCCCCCACGGGCCGAGCCCTGCTCCAAGCCCTTCCCCCGCGCCCCGTGGCGGGGGACATTTCAGTATCCCTGTGTGCGTAAGGCTCAGAGAGGCTAGGTGACTGCTCAGGGCCACACAGCACTATAGCGGGCAACCTGTAGTCTGAACGGAGGCCACAGAGCAAGAAAGGAGCTGTCTTGGGGATCCAGAAGGCGGGGTTAGGGACGCTTCCAGGAGGATGGGCGTGGCTCCAGAAGAACAAGAGCAGCTTAGACAGCCCAAGCTTCAACAGTGCCAACACCAAGCAGGCGGCCCTAGCGCACTCTCCTCGGGCGTGGGGAAACCCGCAGGTGCCACGGGCACTGCTTGCCGCCCATCCACCTCCACTCCACCCACCCAAAGCCTCCGGCACTCCTCCCCACACGTCTGGCCCAGCAGCAGGGAGCCGATGGCTCTGACTGCGACTCCCACCATCCTAAATGATGCTATCATTCCTGGAGGCCAGCTCTGGCTGCCTGCCCTGCACCCCCGTCTGACCATCAGCGAACGCTTCAAGACACCACTGCTCCCTTGTGCACCAGCAGCACCGCACCCCTCGCCTGGACCACGGCAGTCCCCTCCCACCGGGCCGTTCCCACCCAGCCAGAGGGACACTTGAAAGCCCTCCTCTGCTCCTAACTTCTGGTGGCCCTTCTTCCTGTCTGCCCCATCCCCTCTGACCTGCGCCTGCTCTCTGCCCTCCTCATCCAGCCACGCTGGCTGCCTCTCTGACTGCCTGGCCGCTCACACCTCAGAGCCTGCCTCACAGCCTTTGCCCAGAACACACTTCCCGGCATGCCTCCTACTCCTGCAGGCCAGGGCGTCTTCCCTCAACATCCCACCCCATCCCGCCCACCCTGCCTGCGCTAGACCCAGAGCTGCTCTGCTCACTGGTCTCCTGCAGGTCCCGAGGGTACCTGGCCCATGGCCCAAGCTCAGTATTAAGCAGCTTGCTGGCATGCCCTTGACTTCCCAGGGGTACAGAAAATGCACCTGCTCCACAGACTGGTGGGTGAAAGCCACACACTGCCGTGGAGTCGATTCCGACCCACAGCGCCCCTAGAGGACAGAGTGGAACTGCCCCACAGGGTCTCCAAGGCTGTCAGTCTTCAAGGAGCAAAGCCCAAACCACACCCACTGCCTGGAGTCCATTATGACCCACAGCGCCCCTAGAGGACAGAGTGGAACTGCCCCACAGGGTCTCCAAGGCTGTCAGTCTTCAAGGAGCAAAGCCCAAACCACACCCACTACTCTGGAGTGGATTCCGACCCACAGCGCCCCTAGAGGACAGAGTGGAACTGCCCACAGGGTATCCAAGGCTGTCAATCTTCGCAGAAGCAAAGCCCAAACTACACCCACTGCCCTGGAGTGGATTCCGACCCACAGCGCCCCTAGAGGACAGAGTGGAACTGCCCCAAAGGGTCTCGAAGGCTGTCAATCTTCACAGGAGCAAAGCCCCAACCATACCCACTGCCCTGGAATCTATTCCACTCACAGTGCCCCTGGAGGGCACAGTGGAACTGCCCCAGAGGGTCTCCAAGGCTGTCAGTCTTCACAGAAGCAAAGCCCAAACCACACCCACTGCCATGGAGTCAACTTTGATTCCTGACGCCCTTGTGTGTGCACAGTAGAACTGTGTTCCATAGGGTTTTCAACATCTGATTTTCCGGAAACAGATCACCAGGCCTTTCTTCCGAGGTGCCTCTGGGTGGACTCAAACCTCCAACCTTCTGATCAGCAGCCACATGTATTCACTAGTTACACACCCAGGGACTCCTGATACAGCCACACTGCTGTTAGTTAGTGCCCGCCTTCCTTTCAAGGGCTGGGCTGGATTGGGCTGGAAGCAGGCTGGGCCTTGTGACCTTGTTCAAGTCCCTCCCCTCTCGGGCCTCAGTTTCCCCATGTGTTCAAGAAGGCTGGAGGCAGAGCAGGGATGCCAGGAGTTCAATGCCCCTTGCCTTGGGTGCCTCTGCCCGCCCTCCACAGGTGCTTGGGCACACAGGGCTCAATTCAAACAGGAGACATGCAAAGTCAGGCAGCAACCCAGGGCCCCAGTTACCTCTCGGCCAAGGTGAAGTCCCCATCTTTCAAGGCTGGCACCTTCTGCATGGGGTTCACCTGGGCAAAGGCATCACTCTGGTGCTGGCCTGCAGAGGAGCCAACAAGGTGGGTAGGTAGGAGAGCCGTGAGGGCCCTGTGCTCTCAGCCTGTCTCCCACCAATGCCCAAGCCCCAACCTTCTGAGGGTCTTGTCGGCAGAGGTCTCTCTGCTGATCACTGGATCAAGACCCTGACCCCACTGGAGGTCCACCTCCTGAAGCCCACCCCTCAGAGCTGGGCCAGGCAGGATCCTAACTTAGGCCTGGTCTTACTCCTCACCACTCGCCTGCCAGTTTAAATGGTGAAAACAGAGAAAAGACTGACATTGTCAGGGATTTTGTTTTTACTTGGATCCACATCAACACCCATTAAAGCAGCAGTCAAGAAATCAGACATTGTATTGCACTGGGCAGATCTGCTACAAAAGACCTCTTTCAAGTGCTGAAGAGCAAAGATGTCTCTTTGAAGACTAAGGTGTATCTGACCCAAGCCATGATGTTTTCAGTCGCCTCATAGGCATGTCAGAGCTGGACAATGAATAAGGAAGACCGAAGAAGAGTTGATGCATTTGAGTTGTGGTGTTGGCGAGGAATGCTGAAAGTACCATGGACTGCCAGAAGAACTAACAAATCTGTCCTGGAAGAAGTGCAGCCGGAATGTTCCTGGGAAGTGAGAATGGCCAGATTCATGTCACCTACTTTGGTCATGTTCTAGAAGGGATCAGTCCCTGGAGAAGGATGTCATGCTTGGTAAACTCAGGGGTCAGTGAAAGGCGGAAGGCCCTTGATGAGATGGACTGACGCGGTGGCTGCAACGATGCGCTCAAGCAGAGCAAGGACTGTGCGGCTGGCGCAGGGCCGGGCGGGGTTTCCTGCTGTTGGGCTTAATGTCTCTATGAGTTGAAACTGACTTGATAGCATCTCACAGCAATTTCTTACTCCAAGAGGCTCTCTTAAGGAGTGCGGGTGTCATAGCTACAGGCCTCAGGAGCCCCAGGGTGGCCATTGGGGGGACTTGGCACTGGCAAACGGGCTAAGGAAGTCCTGTCCAATCCCAGGCACCCCTGCTTGGCCCCACAGGGCTTCCATCCTCTGCAGGAAGGATTAGCTGGAGTGGAGGCAACCCCCTACCCCATTCCATGCATGTCACACACCCCTGGCCAGAGCCCCTCCAGCCTCCTCCCTGAGCTCTGTCTAGGCCTGTCCCCACAGCCCGCCAGCCTGCGACTACCCTGGTCATGGTTCTTTCCCATGCCAAATCTTCCAGGCTCCTCCTCCGAGGCCCCGTCCTCCACTGCCCAACGGACTTCCAGGTCTGACTTATCTCTGCATGTAGCCTCAGCCCAGGTCAGGGCCAGGGTACACTTGGCACCCTGGTAATGTGTGTGGAGTCAGAGCACCCCTTGGGTCTCCCCAGGGCCAGGCTCCAGCCTGGTGCTACGCTCACCTGTCTGCTGGGTAGATACAGTCACCCCGTCGACTCCCCCTGCCCCGCAAAACTGCCTCTGCCCAGCCCCTAACTCAGGGAGGCCTGGGAAGGCACCGCAAGGGGGGCAGTGCACAAGTAGGTGACCTGGGCTGGGGACACCAAGCATGAAAGATGGAAGGGCTCTGCCAAGCCAGGGTCCCTCCCGGAGGTGAGTTCTGCTGTCCAGTTACGTCCGTGTTCCTGTCCCTGCACTGGGCTCTGTTCTGGCTGTGTCTCCAGGCCACCAACATGGCAGTTCAGAGGGCTTGGCCCACGACGGCCTTGGCCCAGCTTCCCAGAGCCGTCATGGACCTAAACCTCCAAGCAGCCCTTCAGCCGGTGGGGAGCCCCCATGACCAAGAGAAAGCAAGAACCAGGAACGGAAGGGACCTAGGCAGGTGACCGGAGAGGGAAGACCCCCCCCCCCCCAGCAGGCATGGAGGCTTGGGACATCCCTCTCCTGCCCCGAGCTGTAGCCACCGACGAGCTGGGGCCTGTGGCAGGCGGGCGGTGGGGGGATCTCCGGCCTCCTGCCCCTCCTGCCCTGCCCCCCTCCCACCCCAGCTGCTGCCCTCCACCTGTCCTGCTCCCTCTTAAGCCACGCTGAGAAGAACGAGTCCCATTCACTGCGCAAGCTCGAGGCTCTTTAAAAACACCCACTGAAGCGCACTTGCCCCCTTGGGGAGCTCGTGTGGGGCGCCACCGGCGGGTGGGGTCTGCCTTCACTCAGAGGCCCAAACCCCCACCGGCCAGCAGGCCCACCTTTGAGCAACTCCACGGTGCGCAGCTCGAACGGGATGCCGTTCTTCTTGGCGAAGATGTAGACGGCGCGGCACGGCTGGGACAACAGGTCCAGGTACAGCTCCAGGCCCATGGCGCGGCGATGGGGACGCGGGGAACTGAACTGAACTGCGTTGGAGCTGGGAGGCCGCCAAGCCTCCCCGAGCGCCTGCACCGGGCACGCCCTCCCCGCCCATTGGCTGGCTCGCCAGCACTTCGGGCCAATCAGCAGGCCCCGTGCCCCGCCCTGGCGCTCCGCGGGTGGGAGAAGGCCGCTCCCACGGGGTTGGCCTCTGGACCTGGGATCTCTTTTTTGTTTGTTTTTCACTTCGTACTTGTGTGTGTGTGTGTGTGTGTGTGTGTGTGTGTGTGTGTGAGATTTGGGTGAAAATTTACAGAGCAAATTCATTTTCCATACAGTAGTTCACATACACTTTGTCTCATGACACTGACCACAATTCACCACAATACAACAGCTCCCCTCCCACTTCCTCCCCGACAGTCACCTCTTCCCAGTGTCCATCCCTCCATGGACTCCTGCCCCCTGAGCTGTCTCCCTGTGCATAAACAGCCCTTCTTTCTCCCATGATTGTTCTCTCCAAGGAGTATATCTACCTCAGATAAATCTTCAACTCCTATGCCTGTCTTTTGCTTGGCTGGAAGCCACAGGTGTAGGTTCAATTGAAGGGCAGCTAGAGGCCATAGTCTCAGTGGTTCAACCGGGCTCTATCAAACCAGCAAACCTGGTCCCCCCTTTTTTTCTCTCCAAATGATTTTGAGTTTTGTTCCACATTGTTCTCCCTCTCTATGCAGGATCTCCTCCATAGATCCCCTTCCGAGTGGTTGACAGTGGTAGCCGGGCACCATCTAGTTCTTCTGGTCTCATAGTCATCTAGGCTGCAGATCACATGGTGTACCAGTCGCTAGGACTAATTCTTTCCATGAATCTTTGATTTTCTTCATTCTTCTTTGCTCTGGATGAGGAGAGACCCATCGTTGCATCTAGATGGCTGCTTGCAGGCTTTTAAGATCCCAGTCACTACTCGCCAAAGTAGGAGGTGGAACAACGTTTTGTGTAGTATGTTATGCCAATTGAGCTTGATGTCCCCCACGACCATGGTCCCGAGCCCACGATGGACCTGGGATCTTTTGTTGCCAAGTCCTGTCCCTTCTGCAGATCTGGGGTCCACCTTGCTCACACGGGCAACGGGCTGTGTGGTCGCCAAGGGCACTTCAGCCCTTCCCTGGACTGTGGACTGCTCCGCTCCAGCTCCTGTGGGTTACAGTATTCACTCAAAACTCACTGCTGTCCAGTCGGTTCTGACTCATTGCCACCCTCCTTGGGTTTCTGAGGTGCTACCACTACAGAAGTAGATTGTCCAACCTTCCTTCTGAGGAGTGGCTGGTGCGTTTGAACCGACAGCCTTCTGGTTGGCAGTTAGATGCTTTAGGCACTAGGCCACCAGAGCTCCCCCCAGCTAATCCCTCCTGCACAGGGCGCAGCAGGGGTGCAGGATTGGAGTCAAACCAAACCACACCCACAGCCTTGGAGTCTAGGCTGGCAATCTTTACAGAAGCAAACTGACTGGTCTTTCTCCCTGGAGGGCCTGGTGGATTCGAACTGTGCACCTTTTAGTTAGCTGTGGAATGCTTTAAGCACTGTGCCACCAGAGCTGCTCTGGGATTGAATAGACCTACCCTTACCCCTTTGCTAAGGCCAAATCCCCCCAGTTGCAATCCTGGGGCTCCTGAGGCCTGTAGTTACGATGCCCCCACTCCAAAGACCCTGCTGCAAGAAGACCCTGCCTCCAAGCCCAACATTCAGAGGCAGCCCCTCAGCCAGATAACCGTGCACTGGAAAACTTGAAGTTTGGCTCCCTGGGGTCCCTATGCTCCCCGAGCCTTATCCCTCACCGGGGCCTTCTTGACTTTGCTCTAGGGCCCTCTCTGGCTGGGAAGGGGTTCATTCTCCATCCCTTCAGTGACCTGCTCTTGACTCGGGTGACTATAGAATGCAATCTCCCTGCTTCCTCCTTGGCTGCCCGCCAGTCCACCCCTTGCCAACAGCCAGATTCTTTTGCAATCTGAGCACCCCATTCCCGTGTCTGGCTTACAGCTTGGTGCGTAGGTGTGGCACTCCAGCCCCCTGCACGACTGCAGCTGTGCACTGACCAGGAAGGCTGCTGTTTGGATTTTCTTCTCTGGGTGGGTTCCTCAGGGCTGTCGCTGTACTGGTGAATGACAGCAAGTATTGATGCCCAAGAGCTGGGGCCTGGAGGCCAGCTGCGCCAACTGATCGACCACCATGCTGACAGCTAGGCCATGCTGGATGCCTGCTTACCCCTGTGTGGTCTACTAAGTCCCTCTCTGCAAGGACGAGGCTAAAGGGAAGATGTTCGTTTCACTTGAGGTTACCTGCAGGGGGAAGCTGACCACAGGTCTAGGAAGGAGAATTCCCTTCTGAATAGAGACAGAGACCCAGACGACAACAGAAAGACAGACAGATCAATCACACCACAAATTGAGAAGGAAAGAGATGGGCTGTGCCCAGGTTTATAACCCAAATTTAAATCTAAAAGCACTGGTTACAGGAGATGAACTTTGGATGTGCTCTTGAACTGGCTGTGTGTCATCATGGCATCTTCCTGGCAGCTGTGGGGGAGAGACTAGGGGTGAGAGCTGGCTGGCCTGGGGAACCAGATGCTTGCCACACCTGCCTCAGGTAGGACCCGGAGAATGCAGGTGTTTCGTGAACGGCTGGAGGTGCAGTTCAATGGGTCAGGGCCAGCACGCGGGCATCAGTTTCTACTTTGTTGTGGGGTCTGCAAGAGGAGTCTCCTTGACCTTCAGGATGACCTCATGGGCCTCCTAGAAGAGGTCTCCCCTAACCGCTGCCTCCACACGCTGACGCCAGGCAGCCAGCTTGGGTCAGCCTTCAAAGACCTGGCAGCCGGTGCCCATGGGCTGTAGGAAGAAGGGAACAGGTCAAGGGTGGTGTAAGGCAGCATCTGCATGGCCTTGGGGACACAGAGCTCCATAAGGGGTCTCCTCGCATCAGCACGGTCCCATGCCAGGCAAGGCAAGCAGAAGGAAGACATTAGCAGGCCCCTGGGGCCCCTGCCCTGCCCCCCACTCACATGTATCAGCTCGGTGAGGGCCACCAGGTCTGCCAGGCAGATGTGGGGCCCAGTGAGGAAGGCCTTGTTGTACAGGAGCTTGTCTTCCAGCAGCTGCAGGGTCACATCCAAGTCCGCCAGCGTGGCTGCCTGCGACTCAGGAGACACCGGCCCGCCAAAGAAGGCAGGCATCATCACCCGGTTGGGAGGGCAGGCAAGGGACAGTCGGGCCACCCAACCTCGGGGGGTGGGAAGACAAGACCCCACAGAGCTGCCTCCTCATTCCACACACCTTGCTTCCAAGGCCCAGGACGCCAGCACAAAAGGAGGCTCCCTGAATCCCAGAGGGCGCCAACATTTCAGGAAAGGTCACACTGCCCCCTTTTCATTTTGTTCTCTAATGCTCTTTAAAAAAATAATAATAATAATTGTGATTTGGGTGAAAACTGACAGAGCACATCCATTTTCCATACAGAAGTTCATACACATTTTTTTTCATGACATTGACTGCAATCTCCACCATGTAATAGCTCTCTTCCCACTTCCTCCCCATAGCTACCTCTTCCCTGTGTCCTTCTCTCCCACACACTCCTGCCCCCTGAGCTGTGTCCTTGTGCAAACACTGCCCTTCTGTTCCCTCATGATTGATCGCTCCAGGGAGTGTATCGACCTGATGTTAATGTTCATCCCATTTGCCTGTCTGTTGTTTGGCTGGAAGCCACAGGAGTGAGTTCAATTCCAGGCCTGAAAGGTGACTAGGGGCCATAGTCTTGGGGGTCTCATCAGGTCTATCAGACCAGCAAACCTGGTCTTTTTTATGATTTTGAGTTTCGTTCCACATTGTTCTCCCACTCTATCCAGGAACTTAAAGTTCCTTTTTTATATAAAAAAACAACATGAGATTAAACAATAGAACCCAAGACCCAAAATTAGCTTTGGGAGTCTTTGGGTGAAATGAACAGTGAAGGCTCAGCTGCTAACTGAAATGCTGGTGCTTGGCATCAACCCACAGGTACCTCCGGAGAGAAGTCTGGTGACTGACTTCAGAAGCAGCCATTGCCACCCTGGGAGCACAGTTCTTCTCGGATCCACACGGGGGCGCTGTAACACAGAGCGGACTCAATGGCATCCTGTAGAATTAGCTACAAGCTTTTCTGTATTTGCAAAGATGAGGAGTTCTGGTTAGGGGACAGAGCTCACAAAAGCTCACTGCTCCCTGAGCCACTGGGCCGTGTGCTTGGGACCATGGATGTGGGGGACATCAAGCCTAATTGGCATACCTACCCTACTACACAAAAACATTGTTCTACATCCTACAGTGGTGAGTAGCAACTGGGGTCTGAAAACCTTGCATCTAGAGGCAACCATGGGTCTCTCCTCATCCATAGCAAAGAAGAATGAAGAAAATCAAAGACACATGGAAACAGTTAGTCCATGGGACTGGTACACCATGAGATCCTCAGCCTATATGATCATGAGACCAGAGAAACTAGAAGGTGCCCAGCTCCCACTATCAACCACTCAGAGGGGGATCGGTGCAGGAGATCCTGGATGAAGTGGGAGAATGATGTGGAACAAAACTCAAAATCATAAAAAGACCAGGTTTGCTGGTCTGATAGACCTGATGAGACCCCCAAGACTATGGCCCCTAGTCACCCTTCAGGCCTGGAACTGAACTCACTCCTGTGGCTTCCAGCCAAACAACAGACAGGCATTTGGGGTGAACATTGACATCAGGTAGATCCACTCCTTGGAGAGATCAATCGTGGGAGAACAGAAGGGCAGTGTTTGCACAGGAGACAGCTCGGGGGTGGGGCAGGAGTGCATGGGAGGAAAGGACACAGGGAAGAGGTAACCACAGGGAGGAAGTGGGAAGAGAGCTGTTACATTGTGGGGATTGCAGTCAATGTCCTGAGACAAAATGTGTATGAACTGCTGTATGAAAAATGGATTTGCTCTGTCAACCTTCACCCACATCACAATAAAACTTTTTTTTTTTTTAAAGAGCTACAGAAGAAGCCTTAAAGAAGGAGAAAAACGAAACTAAGCATAAACTAGTTCTGTCTAATGTGGTAATCACTTGCCACACATGGCTACTGAGCTCTTAAAACACAACTAGTCCTAAATGAGATGCTCACAGGATTGGGACTGGAGGAAGACTCATTACCAACCTGCGATGTGCAGATGGCACAACCTTCTTGCTAAAAGTAAAGAGGATTTCAAGCACTGAGCTGATGAAGATCAAAGACTCCAGCCTTCAGCATGGATCACACTTCAACATAAAGAAAACAAAAATCCTCACAACTGAACCATAAGTAACATGACAGAGAAAATGTTGATGTCGTGGGGGATTTTGTTCTTCTTGAATCCATAATCAATGCCCATGCAAGCAGCAGTGAAGGCATCAAACAATGCATTGCACCAGGCAAATCTGTGGCAAAAGAACACTTTACAGAGTTTGCTTGTTTTATGAAAATGAAGGTTGTTTTAAAACTAAGGTGCGCCTGACAGAAGCCATGGTATTTTCAATCACCTCATATGCACGTGAGAGCTGGACAGTGAATATGGAAAACTGAAGAAGAATTGATGCCTTTGAGTTACGATGTGGGTAAAGAATATTGCCTATACCATGGACTGCCAGAAGAACTAACAGATCTGTCCTGGAAGAAGTGCAGCTGGAATGCTCCTTGGAAGTGAGAATGGCCAGACTCCTTCTCACCTACTTTGGTCATGTTGTCTGAGGGACCATTCCTGGAGAAGGATGTCATGCTTGGTAAAGTGGAGGGTCGGTGAAGGAGTGGAAGGCCCTCAATGAGACGGATTGACACACTGGCTGCAACAATGGGCTCGGGTACAGCGAGGACTGTGAGGCTGGTGCAGGACTGGGCAGTGTTTTGTTATGTTGCACCTGGGGTCACTGTGAGTCAGAACTGACTCGGAGGCACCTGACAGCTACAAACTGAGATGGGTATGTACCTGTCAAAAACATCCTGGATTTTGAAGGCTTTGTTGTTGCTGTCAGGGATGTCAAGTCATACGAAAGAAAGAACGTGAAATACCTCAATAGTAATTTTTATATTGATTCCCTGCTGGTCTGGCTTGGATCATGTTCCCAACATCTACGTGATGAAGTCATAGTCTTTTCACCATACATCGGACCCCGTTTGAAAATAGGCATTCTTCTTTTGTTACGCTAATGAGGTCATACCAGCCTGATGGGTGGTAATCTAAACCTAATCACTGCTGAGTTATCAAAAGAGACACGGAGATGAACACAGGGAGGTGACAGACACTGAAGAAGGCCAGCAACACTGAGAAGGGCCGAGGAGGAGCTGGCAGACAACAGAGACCAGGAGAGAGGGCTTCACAGAAGAGGTTGACACAACCAAGACACGGATGTGGACTTTGGGCCTTCAGAGCTGTGAGAAGATGAATTTCTTCTTTAAAATTGCTCACTAGTGGGGTTTTTGTTATAGCAGCACTAGATAACCAATTGTTGTTGTTGTTGTTGTGTGCCGTTGAGTCGGACCCGACTCATAGTGACCCCTCCTTCGGTTTCCGAGGCAATATCACTACACATGTTAAAATAAATTTGTAAGCCAATTATGCTAATTCCACCTGTTTCCTTTTATTTCTGAATGGGCCCCTTAGGAAATTTAGGTACCTGCGTAGTACAAGTGGTCTGTGACCAGTTGCTAACCTAGAGGTTGGTGGTTCGAACCCACCCAGTGGATCCATGGAAGAAAGGCCTGGAGAAATGCCTCTGTGAAGATTACAGCCAAGAAAACCTCACAGAGAAGTTCTACTCTGTGCCACACGGGTCACCATGAGTCAGTACCAACCTGGCAACAGCTAACATCAACAACTCCAAAACAACCAAACCTACTGCCGTTGAGCTGGTTCCGACCCATAGCAATGAGCTTCCAAGGCTGTCAATCTTTACAGAAGCAGACTGGCCCATCTTTCTTCCATAGCACAGCTGGTGGGTTTGAATCACTGACCTCTTGGTTAGCTACCAAATCCTTTAACACCACCAGAGCTCCTTACATCAACAACTAGGCAATCTTAATTAAATATATGGCTCACTTTATCTTTCTATTGGACAGCACTGGGCTAAATGAACTAAATTCCAGAGAGGCATGAACGCTTCCTAAATAAACCACTTTCATCTCTGGGGCCCTGGCAGGCGGGGAGCAAGCCTGCCACAGGCAGAGGGCTTTCTGGACTAAGCAGTAATGTGGGGGACGAGGGGCAGGGCGGGAGGTACATCTGATAGTCCTAGTTAATGCTCAGATCCCAAAGCTCTGTTGGAATGTGCATCCTGACCCACCCTCAAGATATGTGAAACCAGAGATGATTTGAAATAAGAGATGAACTGCAATTAACTAACACGCCACCCAGCCCAACCCATGATTAGCTGGAAAAGATTAGCATCTCATCCAGTTTGTATGACAGAGGAAAGTGCAAGCCATTCTTGGAGGTATTTACCATGCATTTCCATCTCTACTCTTCTTTCATAATAATTTCCAGCATACAGTAAGAAGTTATGAGACATGCGATGAGGTAGGGAAATGGGACCCATTATCAAGAGAAAAAACATCAACAGAAACAGACCTACAGATGCCCCAGGCATTTACATGAGGTGATGTTGTTACCTTGTGGTCAGGTGCTGTTGAGTCAGTTCCTCAGAACAAAGCAACGCCCAGTCCTGCACCATCCTCACAGTCATTGCCATGATTGAGCCCATTGTTGTAGCTACTGTGTCAAGCCAAGTCGTTGAGGGTCTTTCTCTTTTTCACTGACCCTCTACTTTACCAAACATGATGTCCTTAGCTGACAACGACTTTTCAACAAGTCTCATAAATATGTTGAAGAATTTAGAAGAAGAGGTGGACGGAATGGGTGACACGACCGACAGTTTCCGCCGAGATGGAAACCCTAACAAGGAATCAAATGACTAAGGGGCCGCTATTGGCCTCTCCCCGTCCAGAGCAAAGGAGAGTGAAGAACACCAAAAACACGAGGGAAGAATTAATCCAAAGGGCTGATGGACCACGCGAACCCCAGCCTCCATGACCCTGAAACCAGAAGGACTAGATGGTGCCTGGCTGCCACTGTTAACCTCCCTGAGAGGGACTGATGACCTAATGTACAGCACAACCTTGGGAAAGAGTGCTTGGACCCAGAGACACAAAATCAAAAGACGCGAGGAATACCACCTGAGAGACTCCAGGTAGGGCAGCCTTGAGACAAACACACCTGGTGTTGGTGTCTCCAGAGCTCAGAGACAAGATTTATAGTCAAGCAGCCTCTCTTTGTCCCTCTCACGGGTTAAAGAGCCCTGGTCTTTGGGAATGGAATGTGTACACGTGACCATAAGCTTCAGCTCAGCCTATATTAGCCCTGTGTTTACCCACCAGGGGTGGGTGGAATTTTAGAGTATTCTGAAACTCTATCTGCTCCTGACTTATGCACAAAGGATTAAAACATTTCTTCCTTTTTCTCTCGGTGTGACTAAATTGACTCTGTGTTGCTATGGGTACGGCCCCACATTTCTGTGTAACATGATCACAAAAGATCAAGAATAGAGTGGGACAAAAATGTAGAACAAAATTCAAACTCATACAGACCAGGTGTACTGGTCTGACAGAAACTGCTGGAACCCCTGAGACTAGGGGCCTTTGACCCCCTACAAGCATGGAACTGAACTCACACCCATGACTCAACTTCCAGCCATGACAATAGACAAGCTACAAGGTGAACAATAACGCCAGGGAGGTGTGTACTCCTTAGAACAATCAGCCTCATGAAACCCAAAGGACAGCATTGGCCCAGGGAGAAAGCTCAGAAGGCAGGAAGGGATAGGAAAGAAGGATGAAGAGAAATGGTAAACACAGGGAGGAAATGGGAAGACAGGTGCTACATGGTGCATATTGCAATGAATGTTACAAAACAAAATGTGTATGAACTGTTGAATGGAAATCCAATTTGCTCTGCAAATTTTCACCCAAATCATAATTAAGAAAAAAAAATTGAATATTGTAGAACTGAAAAAATATCTATCTGAAATAAAGAATTCATTACATGGGTTTAACAGCAACCCGGGCACAGCAGAAGAAACAATCAGTTACTAAAAGAAAAGAAACAAACAAACAAACAAAGCCACAACCACTGCCATG